AACAGTAGATCTAAATCAAACTTGGATCCATCACAATTTTTTTTATTCCATACAATTTCAAAACATCTGGCATTTTTATTTCCCAACAAGCTTGAACATAAAGCACACTAAGTTCCTGACAGAAATGTGTGGTATGCAGACAGGTGGAGGAGGTGGTACTGGTCAGTTTAGAGAAGAGTCGACAGAAGGAAAATAAGGGAGAAGCAAAGGGATGAACAGAACGTGACAACCAAGTGAGACAAGAAGAGGGTGAAGACAAAACAGTTGAGGCACATAAAAAGTAAAATTTAGAGAGTGCCTTAATGGTATTTCTGGATTGTCATCCACCTTAACCCTAATTGTTATTGCCAATACTGTACTAACTTAAGTTTTCTTTCTTGGAGCTGAATGAGAATTTTAGGGAAGAAGTGTCAATGCAAACAAAACAAGCATCTTCCTTCAACTGTTGTTCCAGCTGCTCTTCTGCAGCACACATCGAATTATGAAACAACAGAGCCTTCTTTCTGCATCCCAAAGTCCGCTCAGCAGGTCACAGAGGTGACTCGCCAGACTCGGCCTATATGGCAAAATCCCTTTGAAAGGCGCATGGAAAGGGTTACGACCTGTGCTCAGTAAATCAAAGCTGCTCCCTCCTTTCATTTCCATAACAAGCCATCAGAACTCATCTCCCACTGAAGTGGCCACAGTCCCACTGGCAATTAAAATCATGCTGGGACATGTTATGCTTGTGTGTGACTGCACTGCGAGAAACAAAACCAGAGGCGGCAGCAGCGGTAATGACGCCGGCAGCTGAGTGGTAAATCTCGAGCGATGTCGGCAGAAACAGTCTTTGATTCCTCTTAAAATAAAATTGAAAAGAAAAAGAAAGAAAACAAAAACTGTGTCCTCTTTTACATATTTCAGTTCAGGTCTTACTGGGAAATATCAAACAAGGAGGCTCAGAGACTGAATTATCTCATCTCTGTCTCCTTTACCATGTTTTGTACACAATTGCAAAACTAAAACGGGAGGGTGGGTTGTTTTGGTTTGTGTGCGCAGCATGTATTTTTGGGAAATAGAGAAAAGCAAGACTCTTAATGCCATACTCGTTTGTAGAAAGCTGGATAAATATTTACACCTAACAAAATAAAAACATTTTCCAGTAATGTTTTAATTCACTAAACCAAAAGAAAATGTATAAATTTGAATGAGAAATTACTTATTTATTTTGTTTTAAATTAGCTTCAAGCATCCACTTTGATCACTGGATGATGCGAATAAAGATCTATCCAATTCGGCTGAAAAAGTGATTGATCATCACACCTTACAATTACTTCACAGCTATTAATCCAACCATTTTATGAAAAGCATAATCCTCTGTTTTTACACTTGCCAGACACTTATCACATCTGCTAAGCAATTTCCAGGTGTGAACTGAGGGTAGAACTTCGAACAATGCTTTGGAGAGCAAAGCAATGCATAATGATGGCTGAATTCGGTTCATCCTTCCTGTGTTTGTATCCTCGTTGAACAACAACCACTGCAGGGACCAGCATCCAATATGATCGGTTTTTAGCCAGTAAGCCAGCAGATAAAGAATTGTTTATTTGGTGTGGAAGTAAATGCTAAGATGCTGAAACCTTTACAGAGGAATCCTGGCATTCTGAAGCCACGTCCAGCTGCCTATCTAACAAAGCCTTGGCTATCCCCAGACAGGCGAAGAGGACACGAGGCATAAATGAATGTGCATAAAGCACTTTGCATCACATCATGATTGTTTAATCCTTTCATTCGCACCTGTCAGTCATCCTCAGATGCAAACTAATCCCTGAATATTTGCAGGCCAGCCGATGTTGATATCTTTTCACTTTTTTATACTTGTAAGCACAACCTCTAAAAAAATCTAAGATTAGGTAGTGTAGGAGAGCATTATTCATTTGCAATGTATGGCATGATCTGCATTTCCTTAGTCTGTTTTCTTTGATTGACGGGGGCCGCTGGTTATCTCCACTGTGTGCCCTTTACCAATATTGTGTTGCAAATGGATATAAAACCATAAGATTCCCTAAATCATGCAAATATATGATTCCCTAAAGGCAAGTTTAAATGTTGGGAGGAAAATCTACCTTGTGTGATCTTTACTGTACCTCGCAAAATAATTTGCAGTCCTCCTCCTCTTTCACCTATCTTTCTATATTTCACATGATAACCCAGAACAAAATGTTGCATGGAAAATATGAGTATAAAAGAATTTTGAAGTGTGGCATTTAATCACTTGTGTTCTGATGCCCTTAAATAAATTCAGTAGAATTACTGGGGTTCACCTATATGAACTTTTATCTCAGTATAAATTCTCTGTTGCCTCAGAGGGTTTGCTGGAGAAGATTAGTGAACAGGCAGCAGGAAGACTAGGAAGAGATAAATTTGGGGAAAACTTAAGCAGGGCAAGGTTATAAAAAAAAAAAATCCTAAAAAAACGCAATCTGAACATAAACATACCATTCCTGCTACATAAAAGGTAGTAGCATCATGCCATGGAAATACTTTTCTTCAGCACTGACACTGATGTCAGGAAGATGAAGGTGGAAGTCAATCTGCTATCTGCTAACACTCTAAACAGCCAAAACTGATGTGGAATGGTTTAGGCCAAAAAATATTCCTACGCTATGACCTAGTCAAAGCCTTGAACTGCAGCCAGTTGATATTCATTGTGTTAGTCAATCACATTAAATTATAATAACACAAACTTAAGCTTGAAGCTACTGTGGTATTAAGTTCAAAACGTTCAATTGGTTGGGTCGAATACTTTTCCAAAGCACCATAAATAATAATCTACTCTGCAAGGTATTCCCACAGCAATCGTTTGGTTCACTTTTTACAGGTTTGTGTAGCTACAGAAATTGATTTTGTCTTAAATGTTAGACTATACTTAACTACACTTCCCCGGATGTGTGAGTTTTAATATATCCTAATGACTGATGTCGAACACCCTTGAATCTGTTTTCTGTTCTCAGCAGTCCATGTTTTGGGGCAGTGTCAGGAATGTCTGCTGAAACAAGTTGGCTTTTTTTCCCTCTGATCCTGTCATCCCGGCACAAACACCCGCGCTTGTTTACAGTGAAATGTCCTCCTTGTTCACCTTCACCTCCTGCCTGTTTTTCAGCATTACGCTACGTGATGTACATACTGTATAGTTTTACCATATTGCAGCATCGAGCAGTGGGAGGTCACCGGCGAGGTTGGCGCCAAAGCCGTCGCGAACTCGTGAAAACGCTGATTTGCTCTCCGAAGCCAAAGCTACTGAGGTATCTGCCAAGCGGAGCTTCTTTAAAACAAAAAGGCAACCTATTCAAGCAGCCAAGCAGGCAGACAGCAGAGGCAAAAGAAGGGACAAAAGAAAGCTCATTCTAGACAGAGAGGAATTTAAAAATAGGAACATCTGAATGGGTATTCTTTCAAATGTCTTCAACCAGCTGAACCTAAAATACAAACCACTGCAATGTTAATCTATTGGGTTTGATCCAATTGTTTTAAGAACCTTTTTAAATCCACTTTCAGTAAAACCATTTTGCTATTCTCATAAGATTCCTTATGGGTTTTTAACAATTCATTGTGGCAGTATTTTCACAGTCTCACTATAGTGCCAGTTATGGAAATTATGCTTTAAAAAACAACAGTGTACTTTCCTTTTAAGTTGTTGCAAAAGTTAGCATGATGGTTTGGAAGAAAAATATAAGCAGAAACCCACGCAGCAAGCTGGCTCAGTTGTTCGCCTAATAATTGGATGCATCATCAAACATCCGAGTTGTTGTATTGCACCTTCAACTTTTATTAGCAAAGCTCAGATGAGATGAAGTTAAGTCGATAGGCTTGCCATGTAAGAAAAAGTGGAAAAACACAAGTTGTTTCTCAGCCGCACGTCGGTATCCTTAAGTCACAGTGTGCTCTGGTTCTAAAAGCTTCCACTGCCAATTCCTTATTTGAAACGTGAACAAGTCTTTAACAATGCCCCTCTTTGTGATCCAGGGAAAAGGAGAAAATCTATTATCGATTTCCACCTGGTTTAGGTGGGGGGAAGCAGCCCCTGAAAGCGATGCTGAATGGCGCTACAGTGCACTGCGCAATAGCTTGCACATTAATGGCTGGTGGATGGTGTGAGGGGGCATGTCAACAAAGCCCCTGACTACTCCACCGCGCCATCTGCACATGCTGAATATTTAATTGTCGATGGAAGCGCTCAAGACCAGTAATCAAGAAAAGAAAAGATAATACGCATCATGAAGAGCCTGTGTGACAGTTCCTGCATGATTGGAATATGGCTTATTTCTTCAATCACCCATTGTTTCAGTGCTAATTGTGACAATTTCTGCATGCATGCCACACAATAAAGATATTTCTAAATCACTCATGTCATTCAGTCTCATTCAACTCCGGATGTGACAAAAGAACTCCGACTTGTAATTCAGCCAGTAAGTGTAATTCATCACTGTCAGCTGGGGAGTCACCATTCAGTTCAGAAAAATGTATTCAAGGAACTATCAGCCTAATCAGTTAAAAATAAAACTTGCCCTTTAATTTTAAATGTGTGCCACCAAAGACATTTTAACAGCTAACGAAAGACAGGAGCATCTTGATTATTTTCATCCCAGCTAAAAGAATTTCAACTTCTTTCACACAGCAATGCATTGCTGCCTTAAAGAGGCAGTAGAGCTCGACTTCATACCACTGCAGCAACGGAACTGAAAACCGCATCAGGAAAGAGTAATATCACAGGAAAACTGCCAGATTTAAAACATTACAGAAATAAAGAAAAATAATGTATTCTTTCATCACAGCTGAAACCTCCCCTCTTGTAGGGGTAATCGCTTCAGTAAAACAATATGGCCAAGCTGAGAACAACAAATCCAAACTCAATCTTTGTTTTTCCTTGTAAAGGTTGTGTGAGCACAATAAAACTTAGCAAACAACATGACGCATGATCACTTTCTCGAAGCACTGCTAAGTGAGAAATTCATTCTTACCTTAGGCTGGGCGCGACGGGGAAAGGCAACCTTAGGATCAATCTGAAATGAGAAGAAAACGACACGTTTGTTGTGGATGGAAGAGACACGTCCGCATCAGGACCACAAGTACAGCTGCTCGCAAAAGCCACAATCTTTGTGATCGAGAATGAAATTTTATTAAATTTATTAGGGGTTTAAAAAATAGAGGAAAATAGAGCAATGTTGCTCTATTTTTCTGCAATTCTGAGAAGTAACATTGGTGCTCAGCTAAAGAGAACAGTGAACAAAAGGCTTCTGGGTTTTTAAAAACATTCAGTGGACAGATTACCCTAAAATACAAGCTTTGATTTAAATACAGACAGTAAAAGGGAAAATACCATTTTCCAGCGTACCACCGATATTCTAATGGTATAGCACAATCGTAGCAGTGTCATGGTTTTATGCCATTTAAAAAAATAAACAAAAAAAAAACAGGTAATGAGAAGATGATACCGACACCAATTTATTTTATTTAACTTGCCCGCAGTCACTTAGACCCCACACATTTTTCAATCTGTGCACTCTCCGGTGGGTTTGAATTGGCCTCGTGCGCGCTTTTTATGTGTGTCTTCAGAAACTAATAAACACCTAGACCCCCTGGATCTAGTTCCAACAAGCATCTTGCCCACCAACTAAACAGAGAATTTCATAACAGGAAACGAACAAAAACTTCAGAGCTGAAGGTGTAAAGTTTATTCAAACTAATGTAAAACAACAATCATAAATTAAAAAGTTGATCAAGGAAGTCACACTGGGTAGGGTGATATCATGTTTCTGTATGTTTGCAAAAATACAGAAAATCCCATAGGTTCAAAAAAACATTAAACCACCACATTTAATTACCACTCAACTATATCAAATATTTATAATGAAGTCAGCTTGATGATCATTTATTGAGACAAACTGGTGGTTGCACAGTTTTCTTTGCTGTCTGCCATGTCTAATACAGCCATGTTTTAAATGTAAACCAGTGATATGCTTTTGCTTTTTCACATTCCCTGCCATGTGATAAGACAACAAGAAGTTTTTATGTGCAATTTAGTCCAATTTCACATATTGTGCTTTCTGAACATCCACAACCTAATTAAAGTTGTAGTTTGTTTTCTCACAGAACAGATTGATTCAGGATTCTCCGCAGCTTTCACAGAGCCACGCTGCAGTCGAACAATTCAGCAAAACAAATGGCAAACAGCACTTAAATGTTGCAGTATATTAAATCACTTGCTAATTCGGTGTACAGTTTTAGTCACAAGTTCATTTGCAAACTGCTATTTAATGCCCCGTGCTAAAGCCTTTATCACTCAGTACAATAATGTCGACTTGGTATTTAAATTCACAGATGACCTGCTACCTTACCTAGCCTCCTTATAAATGATCCAGGTATACAGATTTGCAGAAATACTGGTTTAATTAGAAGAAGTTAGGCTTGTCACTCATCAGGACAAAGCATGTAAAGAGAAATGACCATTACCAGTGACCTCATTACTTTACGCTGCTAATTATCTACAACGGAAGGAGCTCACAGAAACATTTCAGGCGCAACATTTATTCCGTTGAGCAACGTACTTTGTGAAACCTCACATTCATTATTAATAATTACTGTGTGCGTCTTTAGACCAAAACATTCATGGTACCAAATTATCTCGTAGCCATGAAACCTTTTATTAATAACACCCCAGAAAACCAAAACAAAAGGGAGGGAAAAGTGAGCAGACCAGCCACACCAAGTGTTCTGCTGGTCATGGTCACACATTTTTATTTTAGGCAGGAATCGCTGATTGAATATGACAGGAAGAAAATGAGAGTCTGAGGCCGGTGACGCCTCCAGATATTGCCAAATAACCGGGAGGATGCGTCAGATCAGCCTGTTTCTCCATCTTGTGCTTGTTATCTCATTAGCTTCATTTTCCTCATTAATTTCTGTGGTATGAAGGTATGTTGTGGGGGTGGCGGTGGTTGGAGGTTGAAGGGGGTCTCATCAACCTTGCACTTACAATGAAGAGCAGTGAACTGCCTCAAACCACAATGTCTGCCTAAATTGTCCTTGGCTGAATACAAATGACTTGAAGGATGAACATCCCCCTGTTTGTTTCATAGAACCCTTTTAACAAGGTGCTATGGTTCCCCATGAATGAACTTAGCTATATATAAATGAGTGAGAAATTCTTTGCATTTGTGAAAATGACTCCATTGGCACAGATGGATTTATTTAAGAAAACGATAATTCGCCCTGCTGAGGAAAACAATTGAAACAAAAGACACCATCTGCACGGATCAATTAAGCCATTGACATTGACTGCATTTCAATCTGCTTGAAGGGAATCCATGATGTGCAATGTCACTGTCATCTTTTCTGCCAGTCTCACTTATTACAGTTATCGTTGTAAATCAGGTCAGAATGAGAAATGAATTCAATAACACCTGAGCACGGTAACCCCGCTTGTAATAAATTTCATTTAAAGATTTGTTTTAGCACTTAGCCCCAGGCATAACCAATTCAAACTCAATTATTTTTTTCTTGCACCCCGTTTGAGCAAAGACAACAGATTATGTTCTGAATACCAAAGTCCTATACCTGGTAATACATCTTACATTTTAGGTTTACATTCAGATAAAATGCACATATATTTAAATCAAGCCTTTGATAATCAATGGAGACTAAACTGATTGCTTTTGAACTTGCTAAGATTATGTCTTTTCTCTATATGCACAAGCCAACACTTAAATACATTGGAAGATTAAGGTTAGTTTTCTGCTGAAAGATGAAGCAACTAAATGCACAGAAATCTAGTAAAATTATACTTAAATTATTTAAATCACACCTAGAGGAAGGAAATAAAAATTAGGCCATGAGAACACCCTATGACATTTTTGCAGGCAATCTATTTTTCCAAGGCTGTCCATTTATATGATATTTATATACAAAGTGAGTTTGTCAGAGGCGGAGCAAGTACATGCATTCTGATTTGCACTGGATAATGTAAGCATCAAAACTGAAATGTTGTGTCAGTTTCACCTGATACTTTCTTCCTAGAGCTTTTTTTTTTTTGTTATGTAAGACACTTAGGTTTAGGAACAGCTAAGTGGACCTGCAGTGCATTTGTTTCAGTGGTATTACATGCACTTGAGTATACTTCCTAGTGTTCTTGCACTCATGTTTGTGCAGTACTATATATTTTTCCATTAAACATCATGAACCTAATATTAATAAGGCATGATTAGCATATTTTCTGCACTTGCTATTGTCTAGATGAGTATATATGTTTTTTCTTCTCAGGATAGGGGAGCTTTTCTTATGTCCGATTATTGAATGTTTTTTCATTAAATTTATGCAAAAGTTTTCGTATATTGTGTATCTTTAAATGTACACTGGGATACACTCTGTAACACAGATCTGTCAAAGCTATTTCTAAGTGAAAAAGATATGCAAATCTCTAAGGTTAGTTTATTTGAAGGTGAAAGAGGCGTGTATCAAGAATGATCATCAGAAAACATGTCTCTGAAAAGTGAATAGAATATCTAAAGAATATCTTAAGGGCTTTGAAACTCTTGTGTCCAGCAAATTGTGCCTAGACATGCACCGATCAGAGTTATCTAAGTGGGTTTGTCAAGTGCTGACCTGCACTACCAATTATCTTTGATTCTGAAATATTTTTTGAACTACTTTTAGCAGCGTTAAATGTATTTCAGCTATGAGTGGTCATTAGTTATTTATATTAAAAGAAGAGGCGATATCACGATCTATCGGAGGTAGAGTGTTTTCTGTATAGCAGGAGTTTACTGTTATTTAAAAAAAAAAAAAGACAACTTGACTACAGAAATGACTGTCTATGATGTCCTTAGCATTCTATGATAGCAAAAGTGGTTACCATTAGTCACTAAATACTAAAAATATTCATATTAAATATTAAAACTAGTGCTGTCAATCAATTACAAAATCTAATCAAAGTAATCACACTTTGGCATTGTGTATAATCACAATTAATCACTATGACTAACTTCGTAACCTTAAAATATAACTATGCACACATTTAAATTAAATGTGCAATTAAATGCAAGAAACAATTTTATTTCTTTTGTAGGAGAAAGCAGGTAATGTAGTCTCCCAGTACTCAACAGAATCTAAGGAAAACTTCCTCCACTACACATGCATAGAAGTAGCAGCAAACCTGTTCAGGACAAATAAGATATATTTTATTTTCTAGTACTTGAATGACCCACCCCTTTCAGATGCTGCCATGAGCAACTGCCCATTTAAAAAAAATATGCAACTGTCTGCATGTTTTCAAAAAATTGTTTAAGAAAATGTTCTCATGTCTGAAGAAATGTATTTTGCTATTATCATTAATTTAGAAATGTCCCTCTCCATTCTTTTCCAATGTACATTGTGTGAGGAGGCGACAGTCGCTTGCCCTCATCCAGATAACATTAGTGTCGATCATCGCTTATGAATCAGAGGATCAAAAATATGAGTCTGAATCGCTTGCAGCTGGAACAATTGAACTGTTCAGGAAAAAAAGTTTTTCTTCTGGATGAAAATTTTTCAAACTCAAAATAAGTCCAAAGTCGCTCCTCCAGCATGTCTACTAAAGCCAAAAATCAACTTCGATCCCAGACCTTTGTGACAGCTCTCATTGTTCACAATTATTCTCACCATCTACTCTCTCCTTACAACCCCGCTTACATCAGTGACCATAATCTTCACTACACAGAAACACTAGTTTGTTCTCCTGTTTTTTGCACACCAACCTGCATATGTGAAACCTTCCACTGGATTATCTCATTATATCATCCATGATACTTTTCTTATGATTACTGCACAGTTGTTGAAAAGGAAATGCACTCAGTCGTTTACATTAGAGAGCTTTTGAGAACTTCACTTTATATCTTTGTCTTGTTCCAGTTTTAAAAACCTCATTGGCCCTTTGGGTCTTTCACTTGTTCTGTAGCAACTTCTGCACTGAAGAGTGTGGTTTTCAGCATTACCTGATGTTCTTAGGTGTAGTATGTTAACTGATAAC